TAATCTTCAGAGTACTTTTCAATAATGACGGCTTTACAGTGCAATTGTTATATATGTTAACATTTAATTTCTTCCTCAGCTTGCTGGCAACAACAAAAAATATTATATATACAAATTTGTAACTAATATAATTATATTTAAGTTGTAACTAATATAATTATATTTAATATATATTAGTTACAAATACATATGTATCATATTTAATATACATATTAGTTACATATATGTATATATATATAACCTTTTTGGTTGTTGCCATATCTATATATGTAACCAATATATATCAGTATATTTAATATACACATTAGTTACATATATACATGTAACTAACTTTTAAATTAATTTTTAAACTTGAATGTTTGTTGTGAGTGATGTGAGGGGAGATCAGGGTCAGATCCAGAACTAAGTGGCAGCAAAGCAGACTGAACTGAAGTGAGCAGCACTCAATAAAATGGTTATTTTCCCACAGGACTGCCTTAGGGCTCCCGGGGGCACAATGACACTAGGACAGGGAGTATTGGCATTTTGCTCTTTTCTAGTCTAAATGGTATATTTCATTCAAAAAATTGTGCCCACAAAAAATAAATGGTTCAATTCAGAAATTCAAGGCCAACTTTTAAAAAATGCTACAACTGAAAAATAATGAACAAACTCTGCCAGGATGAGGCCCCAGCTTCTACAGTGTTGCAAAAATCATTAAAGTATGAAAGTGGAAAGTACAGTAAACCCTGCAAACTGGCTGCTTGTTCCTGAGGTTTGCCATGTAGTAACTTTTAACATTCACAGATTTATGGGTGATAGGTGTTTAATTCCAAAGGTAACAACAAAATAACATATTTTGTTTTAACGTTTTAGTTGATTAATTTAGATAAGCGTTAACAATTCTTAGGCTACCAAACAGTGCTTGTGGCATTGTTTCTTTTTTGGAGGTATTAGTATTTGACATTTCAGTTTCAATGGAGTATACAGAAATTCTAATTTCACCAAAAAGTTACATTTTTCAATTTTACAAGCACCTTTTATAATTCCAATTACTTTATTATCTTGCTCTGGTGCCTCTAAAACTTTGAAACGAAAAGGCATTTTTCTTTCTAGTTTATAAATGCCTCTTTCAGAATGAAATGTTCCCCTTTTGGAAGGCGCCAGGTACTTTTTAATAAATTATTTGTTCTAGTAAACTTCAAGTGGTCTTTAGATAAGATTTCCATAATATCTAGGACTCAAGGACTATTTTGGGTTCATTTCTTTCCAGAAGGCAAAGCAAAATAATGTAATTTTTGTTCCTTATAGAAGATGGCTGTCCATTTAAAAAAACAAAATAATTTTGCAACAACTTCATGTCCCTCATTCATTAAACAGTTACTGATTGCTTACCATGTAGCAACAAGTACAACGTTAAGCATCAGCTATTTCTCTTGTCAGTATTGATTAGATATTGTTTCTTTTTAGTTGAACTAGAGAATTTGATTCTCTCAAACAGCTTTTCCTTTCTTTTTATTTCATTTTTTAAATAATTTTGGCTATTTTAAAGAATAAGCCATATAGAATATATAAATTCTTTTTTAAAGCTTAAGCAGTCAAAATTTTTCACAGTTTAAACGAATAGGATCCATAGATGAACTCAAATCTGTTGATATCTACTGAAGGCATGGGTCAAAAGAAAAGCTATTTTAGGGTTTCTGGATTAATGGTGAAAGATGAATGAAAAATAATAAGGCAATTTGTAATGGATTATTAAACCAAATATATCATTATTCTAATTTCAAAAACAGGCAATAAATTAATTATTTCTTTGTTAATTTGTTAATTAATTTATTTGTTTATTCAAAAATAGGCAATAAATTAAAGCAGTTGTATTATTGACAATTAAATCTGTATTAGTTACTACAGAAAATATGAGAGAATAAAAATTGTTTTCTTTTTAAAATGTAAAATGCACTATTTTTATTAGTAGTACTCAAAATTAAACAAATATTTTCATCCATAATCTATCTTCTGAGATTTCGATAATCTTTAACAAATTGCATCTTATGTGACTCTTATTTTGTACAGAACTGTCAGGCTTTAAATTATTTGAGGTGAAGCAATGCAATTTGCACAACTTATTTTCTAAACTGTTGGCTGATCTTCAAGGCCAGGTCAACAACCTCCGGAAATGTAAAAGATAGTATATTAATTTGCACCCAGGAACAACCTCTAATACAGCAGAGACCAAAAGTATGAAGCAATTTCATCATCATTAAAAGAATGTTAACTACTTTTTTCTCTTTTTTTCTTCTAAAAGTGAGGCACTGGATACTAATTAATGAAATATTACAAAGATAAAAGGCTTGGTTATGTTACCAGAACTATTAACTGTACCAAATTATGTGGTTTCAAATATTAATCTTTTTTGATTAAAAAAAAATTCACAGTCAAGGAGCCAAATTGACTTGCAGGACTATGCCAAAATGTTCAAACCTTTCTCCCTGAGGCTGAGTACCTTCAGTTCTTCCAAACTCTCTGTCTCCAAAGTAGTGACAGAATTCAAACAGATATCATATGCTCTTGATGGTTTATTGCTCACCTCTAAGAACACTGCAAGTGAGTTCAATATTCATGGGAAGTGCAAGAGTGCAAATGAGAACTAATTCCCAAAAAGCAGAGTAAATTGCTCCAGTATGGTCTACTGGTTACCAAGACGTAGTCATCAATTAACGCTGATTAGACACAAATGTAGATGTAGGAGTAGCATATCTTAACATATTCTCTGGCACTAACTTCTATTTTGCCTTCTCCTTCTCTTCTAATATAACAATCCCACTACTGTAGACAATTCACATTGTAAACAGAAAACCAAGAGACCAACCGAATAAAACAAACTTCCTACTAAAAGTAAAAAAGTTAATGAGAAATTTTGCATAGCCATTCATTCATAGACATCCATTCCTGTTAATGTGATTTCTGATCAATCTGTGGACTAGAAGCGCATAATCTGAGTATTTACTCTACTGGTTATACAACAGTACTGTGCATTTCCAGATACACTTCCTACTGCAGTCAATTCTATGCTCAGAAGAGCACATCTATTAAGACCTGAAGATGAAAAAGATGACATTTTTGAGTACTTCATGAAAAATCCATACAGCAACTCAGACACAATTATTTTATTGCTTGAAAATATCGACTACTTTTCTTACTTCTCCCAAGTCCAAACCAATTGAAGGTTATGAAGTAACCACTTCCCCCCAGAAGCCAGAACTTTCACCTCTTCTGAAGAGAGAAATACCTCTCATAAATTAGGTAAAAATAAGGTCTTGCTGATGGAATGATAGTCCAACATTCATGTAGCTGCCAATTCCCTATCTAGACCTCGTATCTACCACAATGAGCAATCCCTGAAAGTCAAGGTAGTAACTTACTTAATCAATTATCTGCAAGTCTAAAAGTGTAGCTAAAACAACCTACAGAAATAATTAGTTTCTCAGACTACTTCAATTTGTTTCCAGGAACAGTAACAACAGAAATGTAAGGAATATGATCACTAAATCTAAAATTCTTCCTATTTCAAGATTAATTGTGCTTTAATCAACTCAGTCATCACAGATCTTGTTTAAGAGGTAGAGTAAAAAGGAAGTGCAAAGATCAAAGCAATGCTTACAAAAGGGAAGGACTATTTTTGTATGTATACCCCAGTATTTACTATCTGGGTTTGAAAAACAGGGGCATTTACTCAGCACAAGTGAGTGCGAATGACGAACGTAAGAATGAAATTTCAGAAAAAAAGATAAAAGATTTTCAAATCACCACCAACCCCTAAAACGATTATACTATTTTCTTTAAAAAGTGTCAAAGAGTTTAGAAGTGGTTTGCTTTTCACTGCAAGCAGCTTTTCGGTTCCAGTATTAAACGTACATAAAACGTGTGTTCCTTTGTGTTCAAGTTTGTCCAGTAGGTTGCAGCCCAGGAAGACATTTTATCTAAACAAGCAGGGGAGGGCATTTAGGAATTGCAGGTGTATCAATATGGATGAATAATCTCAGATTCCAAGTCTCCATTCATCGTATATGTTCTTTTCATTTCAGCAATTCAATTAAATCATGAACGTAAAATTCTACAGGAAATAAATCTTTTCATTTCCTGTCTTCCCAAATTTATAAACTCAAAAAAGTACACTGCTTCAAATTTAAATACATACATTTAAATACATAAGTCCCATAGTGCCTCAAGCAGTAAAAGGATTCATCTCTAGAAAGCACAATATTACAATCAGAAAAACAACATACTTCAATTTTAAGTTTCCCTTTTAAAGTTTTAACAAACACAAATGCAGTTTAAACTGCTTGACAATACTCAGTTGTGGGATTCTGCTAGAAGAAAATTATTGAACATCTTGACCCTAACCTTTAGTATTTACTAAAGATCACTAGTGTGTAGAATATTTTGATGCCAGAGTTATTAAATGTTTTAGTAATACCATAAGCATTTTTTTCAGATTATAAGCTTTATAACAAAATCTTTGAGTTAAATATGGTTATTTCATAAACTGTAATGCTGAAAACCTGTACTTAACAAAGTCCATGAAAATGTCTCCAATCTTGATAATTAAATCCTGTATCATTAAGTCCCATTTCGGTTTCAGGACAGACCAGTAAGTCAGGGCAAACATTCCCTGGTGTCTGTTTTTAAGGACCACAGAAAAACTTACATTTAGGATAGGCTTTGTTTTCACATTATTTTTGTTTCAGAAGTCATGCATAATGCATGGTGGCACTGTCCAAGAATTTTACATAATCAAGTCTAAAAAGTGCTCTAAGTATCCAACTAGGTAATTTATTTTCTCTCTCAAATGCCAGGCCCCAGAGGATCAGAATCAAGTCCTATAGCAGGTGACTATATCGTGTGTGTGTGTGTGTGTGTGTGTGTGTGTGTGTGTGTACGGAGGGTTGGGGGGAGGGAGAGAAAAAGAGACAGAGAGAGGGCCAGGCTTCTTTTAGAAGTAGGAGAGGGATGAATAGACTCTCCTATTCAATTCTGGGGAGCTGGAGAGGGCTTTCCCTGCCAAGAGGACTGACAAGCACTTCTTCTTTCATTTCATGCAACGCCCTTAGGTGAAATCTGGTTCTGCACTGCACCAACCACCTTCCCTCTCTCCTCCGCGCCGCAGCGCACCTCAACCTTCTCACTATCCCCCAGCTGGGGCTGGGGTTGGGAGATTTTAAAAGTTTGTAAGAGTTCCCCTCCGATTCGCGTTCCCACCCCGCGGAGGGACGTGAAGAGAAATGAGCGCCGGGCAGCCACGGCCCTTCGGCCGACTAGCCCCTGCGAGGTCCGGATGTGCCTTACCCCGCTGTCGCCAATCCCATGTGCCTCTCACTACTGTCAACCTCCTCCCACGGTCTAGCCCAGCGGTTAGCGCAGGAATGAGGAAGTCCGAGTGGGGCTGGAGGGGGTGCGGAGAGCTGGGTGGCGGGACTCGAGCCACGCGTCCCCTGCCGGGCCCCCACTCGCCCGAGTTTGGCTTACCCTGGTGGCGAGTCCGCGTTCGGCCTCCTGGCGCGGGTCTCTCCCTCCTGGGCGGCGCGGGCCTGCGGGCTGGAGAGGGAAGAGGCGGTGGCCGGCCGGAGCCCGAGCGGGCCCGGGTGCGGGTCGGGGCGAGCGGTAGCGCGGCGGGGCCGGGCCAGGCCAGTCAGCGCCGCGCCATGTCCGCAGCGCGGGCGGAGGGAAGCGCAGGGCGCGCGGTGGCCGGGCGGCGGCGCCGCCTTACTGGCCGGGCGGCTGCGGCCTCGGCGGCGCTGGGCTCCGGGAGCGGGGCCGGCGGCTGCGTGCAGGCCGAGGGCGGCGGCGGCTGGCGGCCCGACCGACGGGAAGGGCAGGGGAAGCTGTCAGCGCGTCGCCGGGCCGCTCCGGTGGCGAAACCTCCTCTTCCTGCCCCGGCTCGCTGGTGCACTTCTCTCTCTTTCTCTCTCGCTCACTCTCTCACTTCCTGGCTGGAAATTCCCACTGACGTCGAGAGAGCATACAGACAGACGGACACACGCGCGCACGCAGCGGGGGCGGGAGGTGGGGTCGCTGCCGGGGGTGGGGGAAGCCCGCACTTTTGGGGGCCGTGCGCCCCCGGCCCGGCCTCGTTGCTCGGTTGGGCTCCCGCCCCTCGGGGCCGCTTCGGGGCGCCGGGCGAGGGGCGCGCGTTAGGCGGCCTGGACGCCGGGATCCCCGGCGTGATTCTGGCTTCCTAGCCGGGCGCTCCCAAATCCCGAGGGCTGGAGCCGGTAGGGACGCCCCCAGGAAGCGCCAGCCGGGCCCAATGGTCCGGGAACACAGGCGGCGCGGAGGCGGCGGCGGTGCCGCTGATGGAGTCATACGGTCCATAGCCCCTAAGGGCAGGCCCGAGCAGCTGGAGGGTCGGCATGGATCCAAGCATGCCAGATATAAAAATAAAGCTCATCTGTATATTCCATTTAAATGTGTCTCAGTTACATTCAGATCTCTTCACAGATTAAACTAGAATTTCGTTATCATAACCGACTTGTGTCCAGTAAAGTATAACCCTCTACTGTTTTTTGGTGCGGTCTTAAATATCCTCGTTATAGGGCAGTTACTCAATATTCATCTACAAGGCATTGTTAGGCCTTTATGATAATTACTGTGGATAGAATTATAGTGATGGTGGTAGCAATGGTTTTGGTTTACAGCTCATAAAATACTGATTTGGCAGAGGGGAGTTTTCTTTTTCTCTGAAGAGACCGCTACTGGCACCCATTGACAGGCCTGCCAGTGACCACCGTTCACTGGCATCTGAGCTGCTTTAGTGCTGGGCGCTGTACTAGGCACAGGCTGAGGATACCTTGGGGTGGATTACCTCCCCACATAAGAAATCTTGAGCTGAAACATATATTTTAGAGCTCATTGTTTCACCAGTGGGTCGAGTGACAACTGAAAGCTTAGCTTTAAAACATCAGTAATCAGGTCCTTACCAGGCAATATTGCAGTGGCATTTAGATTCCTTATAGCATGTTCATCCTAGTCCTTTTGTGCCCACTCTCCGTCCTCCTCCTCCACTAGGTTATAAAAACCTTCTTGGTAGAGTGTTTTTCTGGCAAAAACAGAAAACAAAACAAAACAAACAAAAAAACCACAAAAAAACCACACATACGCGCACAACCAAAAGAAAAAACAGATTCATTTGATTGCCTATGACATGAGCCTCCGGGGCGACCTTGGAGGCACCCAACAGTTAACCTTTAAGCGATCTCATTTAGCTCCTGGAGGCTGAGCAGCTGGAATTCAGACGATCCATAAAGACTGAACACAACGACTTTTTAAGAAATTCTGTGGGCCGGGTGCGGTGGCTCACGGCTGTCATCCCAGCACTTTGGGATGCCGAGGCAGGTGGATCACCTGAGGTCAGGAGTTGGAGACCAGCCTGACCAATATGGGGAAACCCCGTCTCTACTAAAAATACAAAAAATTAGCCGGGCTTGGTGGCAGGCGCCTGTAATCCCAGCTGCTTGGGAGGCTGAGGCAGGAGAATCGCTTGAATGCCGGAGGCAGAGGTTGCAGTGAGCCGAGATTGTGCTACTGCACTCCAGCCTTGGCGAGACAGAGCGAGACTCCGCCTCAAAAAGAAAGAAAGAAATTCTGTGTTGTTATTTATGGGACAGTATTAGAAATTATGCCAACACTATAGGAGATTGAAATATAGTTTATGTAAAATGATTTTTGCCAGTGACATGAGTAAGAAGTCTGCAAGTTCCCATGAAACAAAGTGTAAGGGGAGTGGGTTTTCCCCCACTTTGGGAGGTATGAGCATACACGCTCTACTTTTCATTCTGCAAGGAGTGGCAGCCCCATTACCAAAAGATAGGTAAATAGAATTGTTATAAGAGTAGAGCCAGTGTGACATATTTGGGGGTAAAAAATGAAGAGTGTTAATTACTGAAAGGGATTAAATCAGACTCCAAACTCAAAATGATTCCATAAAATGAACTTAAAATTGAGGGTAGGGTGTTGAGCAGGCATGTTAGTTTCCTGGGGCTGCTGTAAAAAGTTACCACCGGCTGAATGACTTACAATGGGAATTTATTCTGTCACAGTCCTGGAGCCTAAAATTCTGAACTCAAGGTGCCATCAAGGCCATGCTCCCTTGAAGAGTCTAGGGAGGAATCCTTTGCCTCCTCCTAGCTTCTGGTGGCTCAGCAATCCTTGCCATTCTTGGCTTGGGTGCAACACTTCATTCTGTGCCTACATGGTCACATGGTCTCCTTCCCTGTGTTTCCTTGTGTCGCTATATTCAAATCTCCCTCACCTTTCTTTTATGAAGACACCAGTCGTTGGATTTAGAGCCCACCCCAATCCAGTATTACCTCATCTTAACTTGATAACATTTGCAAAGATCCTAGTTCCAAATAAACTCATGTTCACGGGTACCTGTGGTTAGGACTTGAACATACGTTTTGGGGGGATGTAATTCCATGCAGCACAGCAGATAAAACTGTAAAAGCCTTCAGTTTACTCTTTTTGGCTCGCTGATTAACCCTCCTCCATTCCTGCTTTGTTACCCAACATTTTCTCTATACTCTGTACAAACCTGCTTCCAGGAATATTTCTTACAAATTCATCCATCCTAAAGTGTCAGAAGGTATTTACCATTATCAGGCTACAAAGAGAAAAAAAATGCCTCAATGTGGAATTTCAGGCATCAATATTGTCTAAAAGACAAGTTATACTGTGTTTGTCACTTGTCTTAGTTCATTTGTGTTGCTATGGCAGAATACCGAAGACTGGGTAGTTTATAATGAAAAGAGGTTTATGGGGCCGGGCGTGGTGGCTCAAGCCTGTAATCCCAGCACTTTGGGAGGCCGAAACAGGTGGATCACGAGGTCAGGAGATGGAGACCATCCTGGCAAACATGGTGAAACCCTGTCTCTACTAAAAAATACAAAAAAAAAAAACTAGCCGGGCGCGGTGGTGGGTGCCTGTAGTCCCAGCTACTCAGGAGGCTGAGGCAGGAGAACGGCGTGAACCCGGGAGGCGGCGCTTGCAGTGAGCTGAGATGCGGCCACTGCACTCCAGCCTGGGCCACAGAGCGAGACTCCATCTCAAAAAAAAAAAAAAAAAAAAAAAAGAAAAGAAAAGAGGTTTATTAGGCTCACAGTCTGCAGACTGTACAAGAAGCATGGCACCAGCATATGTGTCTGGTGAAGGCATCAGGCTGCTTCCACTCAATGGAAGGCATAGGCGGGTGGTGTGTGCAGAGATCATATGGTGAGAGAGAGGGGAGACGTGCCAAACTTTTTAGCAACCAGCTCTCATAGGAACGAATACAGTGAGAACTTAGTCATCCTCTCCTCTTTACAGGGAAAAGCATCAATCTATTTGTGAGGGATCCACCCCCATGACCCAAACATCTCCCATTAGGCCCCACCTCCAAAACTGGGGTCACATTTCAACGTGAGGTTTAGAGGGGACGAATAAACCGTAGCATCACTAAATCATTGAAACTACACAAATCTCCCTTCTCATGAAGCTGTGTTGGAAATGCCAGTGTGCAGAGAATTCTGAGGTCGAGATCTGTGTAGCGCGTTCATTGGCAATGAGAACATAGAAAAAGTATGTCTTCTTTTTAATTGCCTTTGAGTAAAGGTGACACAACACTTCTGCCCACATTCCATGGCCCCACTTAGATGCTAGGGAGCAGAGAAATATAGGTCTTCTGTTGCTTAGGAGGTGGAAGTAGGTCAACTAAGCATATGGTTAATATCTGCTATACATGTATTCATGTATTTGGTTTTCAGTCATATAAAGTGGATCATCATTATAATGCCCATCTTTACAGATGAAAAGTTGAATAATTTTCGTAAGATTTCATAATTAGTAAATAGTGGGAGAGTCAGGATTTGAACCTAATAGATTTGGCTCCAGTGTGCGTGATATTAACCAACACACTAAACTATTATCCAATGATAAAAAAAGGAGCATGTAAGAGATTTTTAGAAGATGAGATCAACAGGACCTGGTTGTAGACTATATATGCAGTTTGAGTAGAGGAAGACTCATAGATAGCTCTGAGTTTTCTAGTCTGAGTGATTAGAATAGTAACATCGTAACTGGGAAAAAATCTGTGGGAATGTAATGCATTCCCACATGCCGAACATGCATGTAACATGTAAACATACATATTTTAGACATGTTCAGAATGACAGATTCCGTGAGATATCCATATGGAAACAACTAATAAATATGCAATTGAAAACTCAAGGCTGATGCTCTGAGAGACATGGCGTTGGAGATGGAAATAGAGAACTGCAAAGATGTGATAGTTGTCAGGAGAGTGTTTCCAAAACATTAGTGGTCAAAGAGGAGACAAGGGGCTAAGTACTGGAATTTGATGAATGACTTTATTTCTGGAGTTGCTATGAGAGAGAGAGATGCTTAAAAACTCCTGAGGTGCCATCAAAAGTGGGAGGAAAGCTCAGAAAGCCAGAGAAGAGAGAGTTTAAAGGGTGTGAGAGCTCTCAACGGTATCAGATACTGCAGACAGTTCCTAAAGGATGGAGAGGAGAAGAGACAATTGACTTTGGGAATTATAAAATCCTAAGCCTGGCCTCTGGGCATGGCTGTGCAGCCAAGGGCAGAAGCCAGTCTGTCTTCTGTTCACTCTGCTCGCTCACTTAGAGGAAAAGGGAACTTTATGAATTCTCAAATAGCACTGGTAGCAGTGGCTGTGGTCTTACATGACTTCTTCAGATCTGTTTCAATATAATGAGGAAAACAAAGAACCAGGAGACTGACAAGTGAGTGAGAAATGGGGAAACGAGGGCATAAATGCAAAAGAATCTCACCCAGAGTTTGGAGTGAGAGGGAAGGAAAGAGGAGTTAGTGTGATTCTTCATTTATTTGACTAACATTTATGGAGTGTCAGAGTTAATGGAAGTTTGGAAAGGTGGGGAGATAGTTTAACAAGTTAATAGTAGAAGGATTAATGAGGGAGCCAGGAGCCAGAAGAAAGGAGACTGTGTGGAGCTCATAATCTAGGTAAGGAGGCAGGAACAAATCTGCCTGTGTGAGATATGAGGAGGAAGAGTACAGACAAGAGAGGCCCCAAGAAGAGGGGGAGGATTAGGCTCTAATCATCAGCTGAGATGCACTAAACCAAAAATGAGAATAAGCCCTTAGAGAATGTGTTTGTTAGGGCTGCCAAAACAAAATATCTCAGACTAGGTGGCTTGAACAATAGAAATTTTTTTTATGGTTCTGGAGACTAGAAGTTCAAGAGCAACGTATCAGCAGGGTTGGTTTACTTGGAGGCTTCTCTCCTTGGCTTGCAGATGACCATCTTCTCCGTGTCTTCATGTGGTTGTCCCTCTGTGTCCATGTCCAAATCATCTCGTCTTATAAGGACATCAGTCATATTAGATTAGGACCCATCCCACTGTCCTCATTTTAACTTATATACTT